ATCATTAGTACTGACTGACACAAATTCTTCCTGAACTTTGTTATATACTCTTATCATGGAAAATTTTAACTGAGGGACTTGTGGAGTCACAGGAAGAACATTTCCACATATTTTTGGCCACTTATATCTAATGTAAATTATAAGCACCTATTCTTTATCTGTTATTTGTCTTCTTGATTTTTAAGAACTTTTAACCTATGTTTATCCCCTCAAGATACTTGGTTTTGCTGACAAGACTAAGGAATCAAAGCCACGCAAAAATCTTTTATATAAAATACTCAGAGGTTTGTACTATTTTAAAAAATAAAGTAGGAAGCGTAACTCTGGTATCAACTAAAATTTGGCAGGCTTTCCCATTTATTTTAATTTTAGTTTCCTTTTGGCTGTTTAAGGTAATTACTGGTCACAGTTTACTGAAGAATTTTAGAGGCTCATCAGTTCTAGGAGGACCCATATGGGGGGCTCTTCCCTGTGGTTACATTTAGAGGCACTTGAACTGAAGAATTTGTATGGTTCTTTAAGGATATCGTTTTTTCCATTGTTTCCCTGGATCACAAAAGAGGACAATGATACTTGGGCCAGTGTTTCCCCAGGGAAAGGGGAGTTTTCAGGTTCCCTGCCCCACCCAAGGAAGGGTGGAGCTGAGCTGGAGAAGACTGGGTAAGGGGAAGAGAGAGAGAAGATTGGAGGAGGCATGTAGAACAGAATCGTGTGAAGAAATTGCACTTGGTTCTCAGCATTGGACTTAACAGCCAGGGACCTGGGGGACATGGAAGGACACACCTGAACGAGATGTGGGGCTGACAGTGGCAGCCTTTATCTTGAGTTGGGTTTGATTTTATTCTCTTGCTTCCAAACTTGCCTAGCCCTTTCTGCCCCTCTGCTATGGGTCCACAAGAGAAGGTGCCTAAGATTTATAGCAAGATTTTGTGCCTGAGCAGTCCTGCCTTGGGCCAACCCTGTTGGTCTGGGCAATTACCCACAAGGGGATGGGTAACTTAGGGTGCTTGATTTGGAAGCTATATTCTTTTTCTTCTCTCTGTTGCTCACTAATTGCATTAAAGTTACTTTTTATGGACAGCCTTGCACACTAGAATATGTTTTGTCTTGAGGAGGTAGATGGCAGAACCTATTTTGAGCAAGCAGGTTTGGGGTCTCAGGGTGCCCTCCTTACCCTGTAATATTTTGACAATGAACCCTTACAAGGGTGTAATGTGTGGATAGGGGTGGAGCGTGGAGCGTGGGGAGCAGGTATTTTAGGTTTCTGGCCTGGAAACGGTTGCAGCTGTAAGGTCAGCAGTTTAGCAGATGCTGGTTTATGATTTTGCTCCAGGGTCCTCTCAAAGTGCTCAGCTTGAGCTCAGTCAGACCCATGACCTCCTAACCTATTTTCTGCCTTTTTTTGTCAACCACTAATCTCAAGAGATAACCATTTACAAAGAGGAGCTAAAGAAGGTTCGATGGCCTTTCTTAGTATATAGGACTCAGAATGCTAAAGGAAGAAGACTTCCAAACAGGCTTTCATCTAATCACCTTCCTTTATTGGCATGTTTAAATAATAGACCAATAAGTACACACAGGGAAAACCTTAGGAATACCTTGTAAAAGATAATTTGATATTCTGTGAGCTCTTTCTGGTCCAGGTTCTCAAATATGGTCCTCTGGGTTTGCAGTTTAACTTCCCATATCCTTTATGGTCTTTACTAGGGCTTCCCAACTTGTCCACATGCTGATAGGTCAGCAGTCTGGTGTCCTCAGCCCCTACATTGACTATATTCTTAAATGACTTCTGGAGACTCTCTTGGGCTTGGGAGATTCTTTAATTATGACCCTTAATTTTGATCTTTGTCCAAGGGAGTGAAGGATGACTGAGAAGGTTCATCTGCAACCTTGTGTAGCTTGATTCGAAAATATAAGTGACCTAAAATGGAAAGGCAATTCAGAGACTTGGCAAACATGAACTCTGTAAAGAAGCAAAGAAGGCAACAGTAGAAGTCACATCAGGCTTTATTTAACTTATAATGAATCTTTTAATGAAGCTATTTTAGACTTTTCAAACATTTTAGAAGCTTCTGTGTACCTATTAAAATAGGTATCCTATTTGTTCAGTTTGGAAACCCTTATTTTCTAGTGCACTTCTTAGATGAATGATCTTGTCTAATTGAAACATTCCCCATAATGGCCATTGTAATTAGATTGTTTTGGTAAGATGTTACCCTTTTGCAAGATATCTACAGCTTCTGGTGCTATAGTTGTCAGACATAAAGTAAGCAGGTTAACTGGGAGGCAGGGTACTTGAATTCTCTGGAATTTAAAGATCTTTTATTAATTTATTAGTGAAGTACTCTTGTTTTACATCTTTTCCAATATGGTGACAATATAGTATTTCTCACCTAAGGTGTGGTTATTGTAGCTCTCCCACTATCAAAGCACCCCATTAATTCTCCAACAAGGTCCATTGTGCTCTTGCTACCTCCACCCCCATTCTCCTCCTTGTCCCTCTCCCCGCTTCTCCCCTGGCTTCTTGGATGCCTCACATCTATGATCCGTTTTCAAGGATTAGTTTTATATTTTGTCTTTGTTTTACCGTTTGTTTGGTTTATCTGTGTTCCACATGTAAGTGATCCCAGCCCGTATTTATCTTTCTCCTTCTGGCTGATTTCATTTAGCTTATTCCAGCACCATCCATGTTGCCAAAGCAATTTACACAATCAGTGTAATCCCAATGAAAATTTCAGTGGCATTCTTCAAAGAAATGAAAAAAAATATTTCTGAAATTCATATACAAATACAGAAAACCCTGAATAACCAAAGCTCTCCTAACTAAAAAGGGGGAAAACTGTGATGTTACACTTCTGGACTTCAAACTATACCATCAAGCCACAATAACTAAAGCAACATGGTACTGGAATAAAAGCTGACCACTGGTATAGAATAGAGAATCCAGAAATTCCCATCTCTTAAAGCTGGCCCTTTTGTATCTTACTACCCCATCAATAATCAATTACATGACCTGGCCAAAGACCACTGTGCATCTGTAACAGTTCTACTGTGGAACCTGGAACTAGGCGTTGTGGCCTGATTCCAAATCAGTTAGGATTGCAGCTGCTGCAGCAGTTCTTAACTTGGAATCTAGGGACAAAATCAAAGGCTGGGATTTCTAAACAAATGGGGGCTTGTAGTATGAAAAGCTAGAGACTTAGTTCTGGGCAAAACCATCTGCCAGCTCAGTTGGGCTCCAGACTAAACTGTACCAGCTCAAACTGACCGGCCCTGTATTGGGAAAATACTTCAATTGAGAACTTGGGTGCAAGAGAACAGAACTCAGAAACAGAGCGGGAATTTATTTCCTCTTCCTTTGGGGAATGGGAAGGATTATTGTATGAGTGTTGACAAAAAATTCAATGATGACTGGGGGGGAGTTTAACTACATTTAGATTAGGTGTTAAGCCTTCGTAGGCTTAGCACAAATGACTCCATTCTGGGTTTGTTTCTTTTTAATATTAATATTTTAGTTGTCAGTTTTACGTATTTAAATTGACTAATATTTTTAAGTATGTTTTATTTTCATTTCAATTGTGAATGCAAACAAAAAAATACCTTGATATTTTCCAAAAGTATTTATGATAATAAGGGAAGCTTCTTGGTTTTCATAATTATTTTGTATCTCAGCATCTAACTAAATTACTTATTGTAGTTAGATACTCTGGTTTCTTTTCATATCAGATCAATCTTTCACCTTTTACTTATGGATAATAGTTGATTGTAACATCTACAAGTAAAGATAATTGTGTATTTTAATATACAGAATTTTACCTCATTTCTAAAAATAGTTCTGCTTTATGCAGGATTTTCAAGTCAATGGGAATAATTGATAGCTTTCTTTTTGATTTTTTTTTTCATGGAAATACATCTAAACACAAAGTTAGCCGTTGAAATACATTATTCGTCATACTCATAATTCCCTTAGATTTTGTCACTTTTTTTTTAAAAGATTTATTTATTTACGCATACAGAGCTGGGGTACAGTCCAGAGGTCTAGCAGCAGTGAGAGAATTCACCAGAGACAGAGTAGGGAGCAGAACAAGCAGATCAATGAAGTACACTGCTTAGGGGAGCAGCAGGTGGGTCAGGAGAGTTCTGCTGGGCCATGTGGGTCACCTCTGGGGTGGGGATTGAACTCATGCTGAAGTGACTTTAGCTTTTTAGTGCTGTTCTTTTAACCAGCTGCACCACCAAGTAAGGTCCCTGATTTTGTCACTTATTTTTAATGTGAAATAGATTTTGAATTTTAATTAAGGAACTTGGGACAGATGATGCTGATGATTTTTTTCCATTGAATCATCCCTGTATCCCCTAAGCACATTTTAAACCCATGCATGATCTTATTGTATAGAATAACACTAAGTGCATTTTGCTCATTTTTATTGCAGGTTTTTCTCCATAGATATAAATGGGTTTGACACTAATCTGAATTTCATTTTCGTACATTAACAAATTTTGGCATGAGCTTTATACTATTTCAGTATTAGTCATCTATGACCTCCTTCTTAGTCATACTTTACCTTCTCTTTTTCTTGATATTTACTGGGGACTTACTTGGTATTAATTAACTACAAAATAAAGCTCTGGTTCATTCATAAACTTACCTATTTGATTTTTTAAATTCTGTTCTACATTTATTATATATTGCTGTTTCCCATGGATCTGCTTCTGGAAAATTCTTACTATTGAAATTTAGCTCAAACTTCCCATCACTGTAGACTCTTTTTAGTTTCCAGTAATTACACAATCTTCTTGCTCAAATGTAGGCTTACTGCATTTTATAAAACTACTTCTGGGTATAACGGCAAATCAAAAATTCAGTGGTATATGAAGAGGGAAAGTCCCTATCATTTCTTTGTTTCTTCTTTTTGAGTACTAAGTCACAGAAACCAAGATGTGCTTACGGGGCATTATTTTGGTGTCATCTTTTAGGGGACTTTGTTTTCTGTTTGCAGATATTGCTGTGGTGGAGATGAGTGATGCCTTCCGACAACCATCCTTGTTCTACCACCTTGGAGTGAGAGAGAGCTTCAGTATGGCCAACAACATCATCCTCTACTGTGATACTAATTCTGACTCACTGCAGTCACTGAAGGTACATCATGTGTCTTCTACATATTTAATTTAGGCACCGAGTTTTAGGGTGTCCTCCAAAGAAAATTAAGTAGTTTATATTTTTGAAATGATGTTTTTGCCAATCTGATAATTATACAATTGCTAGTTAGTTTGCAGGTTTTATTTAGAATTCAGTATAGAAATGTGAAGAAAATAACTGTTGAGTTGTGAGTGCTAGTTAGAGCTGCAGCTGTTGAAACTGTGTTCCTGGGAAGACATCAGCTCACACCTGAAAAAGAGGAACTTGCATAAAGTATAGGGAAGCTTCCCCCGGGTCACCATTGGGGGTTTCACTGGCACACCTGTCCCCAACTAGCAATATGCTTCTTGCTAAAAGTACTCTGAGTTTGTACTTTCTTTCCCTCAATATCATCAGAAAACTGCCAAATTTCCTGGGACATGATTTCAATTAAGATAGGAGAGGGGAAATAAAAACTTACTCTATTTGTCTACAAAATGCAGGGTGTCCAGATGTCATTCTCTTCATAATAGGAACTTAATGATCATGAAGGTATTTCCTCTATCCTGCATTGTAGGGAAAAAGGCTCCCTATAATGCTTTTGCGAGGTCTAGTCATTTTACACTACCTGATTCTTTGAAAAGCATCTCAGTTTAGTGAGATGCATGCTGAGCCTGGTATCATTCATTTTCTTTGTGAAGCTTCAGCTGGTTCCATGTGGCTTTTTCTCATCTATTTCTTCCAGTACCCAAATCAAAGCCAACGGGATGCAGAGTGCTAAAGCCAGAGCTGTGTATCTAATGGCTCAGTAATTGTTATATGAAGATCTCTAACCCAAAATCATGCAAAAAATTTTTTTATTTTTATCGGAACTTCCAGAGCTTAGTAACTTTCTCTGAAAAACCTGCAGTTTCATTTAGTAAGTTCATTTACTGTATGCCAGGCATCGTGCTGGGCATCCCTAGGGTCGTCCTTTCCGAATACTGTGTAATAATGAGAAGAGATTTGCCCCAGCCTCAGTTCATTTTTTTCACTTGAAGCAATTTTCTAAGAAACGCCTACTTAATTTTACCCCTTTAACTAATAAATACATAATAAAGTTTCATGATGGTGTACTTTTAACTAAGCTTTTTGATTTTCTAGGATTTACAACATATATTAACCATTGGTGGAGTAAAATTATTTTTTGTTCTCTTCATTTTTCTTTGGTTAAATTTATTTTAAACTGTGTTATACATCTTTCCCTCTATCCTATTTTTCTTCTTGCCTTGCTGGCCTCTGAAGATTTAATTTTATGACTATTCCTTCTTAAGAATTAAAGTTACATTTGAGAGAAAAGTAATGAGAACTTTATATGGGAGAAATAAACTGATATTTAGTTGCTTCCAACTAATCATAGTGTAAAAGTAATTAGTATCTAAATAGTGTTCTTTTAAAAGACTAGTCTCTCTAAGCTTCAGGCATTTATCTTGTACGTAATAGCTGCTTGTCATTGAGCAGTTAATATGTGCTAAAGTACTAAGTGCATTTACCCACATACATTATTTAATACTTAAAGTTTCCCTGTTAGATAGGTAGATGTTCTATCGCATTTTTAGAATTGCAAACTGAGAGCTAACATCCTTTTTCCCCCCTGATTCCTTATTTCGTTCCTCTACATACCTCCTATAAATGAAACCATTCAATATTTTTCTTTTTCCTTCTGGTTTATGTCACTGAGCATGATCCCTTCCAGCTCCATGCTGCAAAGGGCATGAGTTTATCTCTTTTGAGTATAGAGTAGTATTCCAATGTGTAAATAAGTCACATCTTCTTGATCCAGTCCTCTATTTTTGGGCATTTGAGTTGCTTCCATAGCTTACCTATTGTACATTATGCTACAATAGACATAGGGGTGCAGGTGTCCTTATATATATATATTTTACATTAGTTTTCATTTTGTACATTTTTTTCATCTCAGTTGTAATCCCCATGAGTTTCCCACCACCATTTTACCTGTGTGCTGCCATCACTATAATAAAGTAAAAATCAGAATATAAGGCAACTATAGATCAGAGACATTCTGTAGGGGAGGAGTGTCGGAGACCATCTCCAACCTTTGGGGTGTCTCGAGGCAGCACAGGCAGGACCCTAAGATGGGAAGGCGTTGGAGAGCGGATATTCCAAAAAGGGGGAGAGGGGAACGGATGTGAGGAAGACACGGGAGTCAGGATAGGGTGCTTTTCCTTCAGCAGGTCTTTATTTATACTGTGTAGCAAGTAGTTAATTGTAATAATGCATAGGGTAAGTTATTGAGATATCTCCATAAAGCATTCTCAAGGATAAGGGAAAAGACATTCTTCTGCTTACAATTTTATGGTATGCTAAATTATACGTTTTTGTGACACTTATCATATATACAGTTGTCTACTTATCATTAAAGGAAGAGGGGTCTGGAAAAGGGTGAGCTTGTTAGCAAAAGGTTGTTAGGGGTCTTGGGGTAGTAATAAATTGTGTTAGCAGTGTTATCAGTGATTGTCCAAAGAAAAGCTAATGGCTAATTTCAGGCTAGCAGAGAGTAGTTAGTGCTTGTTTTAAAAAGGAGTAAATTAAGAGAAAGTTATACAGTTGTATATCAAAAAACACCTGTGTAGTCAAGGTTAAAATTTGTCCATTATGCCCTGGGAGCCTTATCTAAAGTTTATTTTTATTCAAAGAAACCAAGGAAGCTTCCCAGGAGTTTTTTATGTCCTGGGGTCTTATTTCTCCTGGGGCTTGGCTTTTGTCTCAGGAGACAGAGGAATTTCTCCTCCTGGGGCAGCTTACCTGAACCAGCAGCTGCCTGTGTGGCTAAGACAATCCAGTTGTAAACTGAATGTTGCTCAGAATATTTTGATATTATGTTTATACAAAAAAGGGAGGTCATAACATAAGTTAGCAGTGGACAGTCTGATTTTTCAGAGTTTATCCCGATCCACCCGGAATCTTCAGACGATGGACGTTGCATAGCTTGTGTCAGAGGAGGAGAGAGAAGGACCAGGACAGGAGTGGGAAGAGCACAAGGTGTTAGAGTGATGGTGCATGGGTGAATTGGTGGTGGAAATTTCACAGGCATATCATACATGTACAAAAATAAATGGTGATGTAATAAATTGCCTAAGGTGACTGAGCTAGACCAGGTCTGCCTGACTCTTAACCATTACATTGTGCACTTCTGTCTCCTTAGAAGCTTATCAGACATTGCTGCTTGGTATGTCCATTCAGAAAAACCCACCGACTATATCTCTAGAGTAAATGTATGCAACACCCACTCATCTTTCTCTTCTTTCTTCCATTAACATAAGATCTTGTCAGGTTTTTTCCTAGTTAGATAGGTATCTGATTGCAGAGGACAGAGGTCTCAGGGATAGAAAGTATATTTTGCAGTCTGACAATATCCTCTGAACCCTCCAGTCTTCCATAGCTATGAGAAAATGGTGCGTGCACACATGTGCGTGTACGTGTGTGAGTTTTTAATTTTCTTTCTGTTGTAGTTAACTATAACTGTTATCCCTGCCACCTACCAAAAGAGAGAAAACTGCTGTGAAATGAGACATAACGAGATATTTATAAATATTTATAAATAGCATATACTTTTTAGGGATCAACCAGATAAAAATGAAGCATCTCTGTTTCCACAGGGCAAAGACAGATGAGAATGCTATTCTTGTCAAATATCTAGCTTCATTTTGGTTTATTCTTTGTACATCTAGGATGTACAGCTGCACTTGTTTTATCTTCATCTAGAGCTCATTGTTGAAGAGAGCGATTTCTCATTGGCAGCAATTTCTCAAAGAAATCATAGGGGGAAAATTTGTAACTTCAAACTGTTGAAAAAACAATGATAGACACTTTGAAAGTACTGAAAATTTATGGCTGAACTTCCATATGAAAGCATATTCAGAATCTAATCAATTCATGTACTTTCATTAAGATTCATATTTTTTAAAATCGCAAGTATTCTTGTAAGAATTAAATGTTTAATTACAATTTTTTTATTTTTTGCAAAAGTCAAGTTTTTAGTTGACTTCACTGAATATCTTTTATTTTATTAAATAATACACATCCAGAACTTTAATGCCTTTGTTCCAACTGTCTTAGGTAGCAATGAGCTCTTTCAGTGATTCAGCCCCACCAACCCTGACAGATTCCTAGACAACAGCAAAAACAAACTTCAGCTGTTTGAACTGTTTGTGCAGCCTATGATAAGAGCTTCTTATAGATTTTCTAAATATATTTTACTTAATTTTATTTTTTGCAGTCATATTTGGATTTAAAAATTTTAAAATGGCACTAACACTGGTTTACAACACTGTTATATGATTTAGGGGAATAGGTTCACCCTTCCTCAGATGTCACCACACCACACCCACCACTGGGGCACCCATGGTCTTTTACCTTAACCTATTGGGCCTCTTCTCCTTGTTGTTCTCACCCCCACTTTTCCTCCCCCTCTAAAAGATTCAGTTCTGTAGTCATATTACTAGGGGTTGTTTTGGTTTGATTTCTTTCAGTTTGTTTTGTTTCTCTATATCTATATATGAGCAAAATTATCTGATATTTGTCTTTCTCCATCCGACTTACTTTAGTCAGCATAATCCCCCCCAGTTCCATTCAAGTTGTCGCAAGTGACAAGAGTTCATCTCTTTTTCATTATAGCTCTATGTGTGTGAGTGAGAGACAGACAGATAGACACAGATAGAGACAGACATCTTCACTCCTCTGTTTTTGGACACTTGGTAGTTATAACTTGGCTATTGTAAATGGTGCTGCAGTGAACTTAGGGAGTGCAAATGTCCCTTTGAATTAGTGGTTTTGGGTAAGGTTCTAGAATTGGAATTGCTGGGTCATATGACATTTATTTTTAATATTTTGAGAAACATCCTTGCTAACACTGTTTTCTATAGGGGCTGGACCAGTCTGCAGTCCCACCAATAATGAATGAGGGCTCTTTCTCCACACCCTGACCAACATTTGTAACTTCTATTTTCTGTATTATTTTT